CTGTAACAAGAACTTGTCTACACTTTTCTTTTCTTTTTTTGATTTTTTGGTACCAGGGATCGAACTCAGGACCTTGCACTTGTGAGGCAGGCAGTGGAACCACTGAGCTAAATCCCCAGCCCTTGTCTACACTTTTTAATAGCCAAATTGGTTTTTAAGACAGGCCTTTGAGGAAAGTATATTTGTGTTACAGTCAAAGGACCTAACCCTTGGGAGCGACTTGTTCCTGCCACAAAGCTGAAAGCTGAACAGAGCTGGAACCTGAATGCAAATGTTCTGACTCTAAATCAAATGCCTTTCCTGCTAGATTCAGTTTTCATTTATTGTAGCTGTACTTCTGCCAAGGAGGATGGTTTCTCCCTGCTGGTGAATGGCATTCAACTAATTAGTTAATTAATTTTTAAAATCTTTGTTGAGGTCCTGTGGTAGTTCAGGTGTTCAATAAGACCATTATGGTGTCTCATGACACTTCCTCTCTTGCAGGGGAGAAATACCTGAAATCAAAGTGATGTGAAGATGTGTTTGATTGCAATTTTAATAAATTATTTGCAAGAGATATGTAGATGCACATGTATCTGATGAAAGTTAATTTGGTTTGGGATAGTCTGGCTTAAGGAACATTTCTGTAAGGACAAGTAGGTGCCTTCAAGGAGATGGTGATGGATGAGGAAGTATGAACAGCTGTATACAAATGCCTCAAGCAGGAGGGAGGGGAGATCTTTGTAGATTAAAGAAGAGAATGAAGTCAAAGGCTGGACTCTAATGAGGAAGCCTTGGGCCCTGCTTGTACTTGAAGAAAAGCTGTAATCTGCTTTCAGCTTCCAAAGAACCTCTTTATCTCGCTGTAATGTTGATCTCCTTCCTAGTAAACAGCAGCACTGATTACCTGGAACAGCTATGCCCCCTCAGTGCAGAGAGGCACTTTAAATTTCATTAGAATTCACATCTTACCACTGCAAACAGTCCTGTCTATTGTGGTACTGAGAGATGGTGAAATGGGAACACGTAAATTACCTAGTGGTTGACGCTGGGAACACTATGTAAAAACTTAATTTCCTCTGAGTTTCCACAGAGAGAAGTTTCAAATACTGGAAGAAAAATGAAGCTATAGTGGAAAAGAAGCAAGAAAAAATAAGATAAGGATAATCTAAATTAGAATCCCTTTCAAAATCCCCCAAGAACTCCATCTCGGACAGTTCCCATGACCAGGGTATTGCAAAGGTGCAAGTAGTTAAAGAGAATCATTTTTATCCTGTTTTGACTTACAGAAAAACCACAGACCTTACCTTATGTGCCTCTTGGCCTCTGTTAGTTTCCAATACATTTTGGTACCACCATAGTTAAGTACCTGTTACAGGCATTATCTGAATCTAAAAATGATGACTTTCTATGACTACAGTCTGTTTTTCACCACTAGAAATTATAGAGAGACATGATAATTTCCCCCAACGATCACATTTTTATGAACCTCTCACCGTTATCTTTCTTCCTTTTTGTTTAGTATGAATTCCTGTTAAACAATTACACACACACATAGATATATATATTCATATACCTTTAAAGTTTTGTCATTGTCATAGTTTCACAAAAGGACTATTTATAACCTAATTATGCAGTTATTGGTGATGCTGATGTAAGCTCACAAAGGGTGCTGTTTGACAGATGATTACCTAGCCATCTATTAATTGGATAAGAAAGTGACACATGCTGGCACCTATTAAAGCAGCATCCATATCTCTGTCTACCATGTTAAGAAATTATTCTAATATAGAAAAATAAGTGCTCCATACTAATTGATGAGAGTCACACATAATATATGTCCCTCTGGCACACTGGAAATGGACAGAAAGCTAGAAAGAGCCAACAACACCAGACTTCAGCATATGCCACTCATCTTTCCAGCATGATGTCAAAAGCCAAGCAGAGGTCTGGGGAGTTTGTTCCCCTTCAGGACCCTGGGTGCATGAAACACAGTCATCCTGCAAAACTCACATGAACAGAGCGATACTCTACTGTCAACCTTTGTGTACCAACTTCTGCACATCAGAGTATCTTAGCTGACTCACCCTTTATGACATTAAGTCTGGTCTGCATTTTCCAATACTGA